GACCATTGAGTAGCCATTGCGCAGTTGAGCCAGAGTGCAGCGAGTGACCCTCGGTAGATGTTGTTATAGTAGGCGTCCGCAGTGTTTTCAGCTGCTACAATTGTGGGCTCGAGATCTGAGTACATAAGGCCAAATATGGCCATGATCCAGTATGGCGTAAGAGCAACCGTAAAAGCGTTAGAATAGCTCGTCGTCAAGGTAGTTTAAAAAAAAAGAATAATTCAACGGTAAAGCACGCGCAGGGCTATGGGGGAAGTAGTAGAGCGCAGTATAAGCAAGTAACTCTAAAATTCAATAGACTTTGAAAAGACGGATGTAAATGTAGTTATAAGAACTTGGCCTACCTGAGGAGATGACGGTAAATGGTCTTTCGATCGACAACTTTGTTCGATGTCGGTAAACGGACAGGATCCTGCATGATGCTGCCCATGATCGGATCACAGAACTCATCCGGTGCATCGTCTACATCCGCTTCATCATCCATTGCGGCTACCTTTTCAGCCTGGAAAAGTTGGAAAAAAAACAGGCACAGTTAGAAATTGGGTAGCGCTCGCGCTTTTGATCCACCACCGGCAACCATCTCTACGTAGCTTGGAGGTTGTTAAAAATGGCACAACATAGATTAGGGAATGAAGTCAGCGATAAGCAGTCTGTCAGGGAAGAGGCTGTCAAAAATTCGCAGCAAAACTCCGGCGAATTAACGAAAAGTTGTCAACTGGTATCAAAACAAAATTTAATAAATTTGACGAGCAACTCTTCTGTTCGCACAGGAATGGCCGATCAAGGAGGCAAAATAATGTAAGGATGAGTCAGTCATTTAGTCGGGTATACTGAATATACGGTAACAATATTTTGACAGCCTCAGAAGAGGTTTAGAGACAGCAATCGACCGACGATACACTGGGCATCGATAGTGATTCTGAAGCGTGGGGGAGTTCAACAGACGTGCATATATGTGCTGTAAAATTAATGTTGCTCTCTATTTTATGGTAACATATTTACTTTGCTTTAAATAATGTATCGTTTTTAATAGGGTTTTCAAAAGCAATACTTATTACCCGCAAATTTACTGAACTAAAGCGTCTCTGCCAACGGCGTCGCGGCGGAAGTCGCAGAAAGGGAGCTCTGATATACTTGTTTTCTGGTGTCATCCAAATGTTCATAGCAATTACTATGATGTATGCGAGGGGTTCAAGGCATACCTGATGTTAGCAAGATTTGTCCTCTAGGCAAGTGGAATTCCTGCGTACTTAAAAACTTCGATCTAACTACTGAAACGGAGCTACTCGAATAAACAGCTTCAGCCTGGGAACAAAAAGCAGACCGAGACCCCGGCTGGAAAAGTTTCCTCTAGACTGGATAACTATGGTGGTGCCGTCCAAAATAACTACGCCTGCGGAAGATGAGATAGCAATCAAGATAGCATTTTACAAAACAGAGGCGACCTACTCTCAGAGCGTTAGCCACAAGTTCAAAGTTTTTCGGTAAATCAGAAGAATTGGAAACTCTGTTAAGGACGACCAGAGCCTGATCTAGAAGGTCGGTGGTATAGGAGCGCCCGTCATTAACAACTGCTCGTCGAAAGGCCGCAGCAGTCTCTTGCTGGTCCGTACCTTCGTTCACGATAAAACAAAGAATAGGAGTAAATAAAATGTGTGCAAAACGTGTCCGGATAAGCCAGTGAGAAATGCATTGAAAAACTTGGATTACCCGTATCAAGCCCCAGGGCAATATAAATCTTGCAGATTTCCAGGACCAAAACATCCGGCCGGAAGCCATAGGTTGATTTGTCACGAACCTTTAGGTCGCCTTGTTTGGGTCCAACCTAAATCAGGGTTTCAGCATAAGTTAGTAAGCGTAGACAAGGCAACATAGGCAGGGGAACACTGTCGCAGATAATTTAAGTGGAAAGCTTCATGCAGTCAAAACGCGTACCAGGCTTAGAAGGAAATAGTTGAGCATACAGGCGATGCGATCGACGAGCACGGGATGTGTCACAAGATGGGGACACAGGGAAACAACACGACGTAGCGCAAAGATGGTTTCAAGGCCAAGAGTGATGTGGAACCTGGCTAATTGGCCAGTGTGCAGAAACAGGCCCTCGTCTTCCCGACGCGGAAATCTGAAAGAAGTGGAGCTACTTGAATTTGGCAATTTCCTCCAGCTTTCACTCACAATCCTAGTAACTCCAGGGGTCAGCAAAGATACGGATAAGAACAAATAAGGGGGGTTGGGCTAATCTCACCGATGACACAACAAGACACCTGAATAAGAGAATGGTCAAGCAAAAATTAGTGAGAAATGCTCAGTAAAGACTTACCGACCACCGGCGGCCTCCCGTTCACGCTCCTTCTGCTTAATTTGGGCCAGAAGACCAATTGCCTCATCCAGGAGGAAGGTCGCATCATTGATGAGGAGGGATAGGAACTGCAGCAAGAGGGGTGGCCGCGGACTGTCGATGTTTTTGATTGCAAACTCTTCCAGATGCTAAATGCGGGGAGGTGCAATTTGGCTTCAATATGCAGTTTTAAAGAAAAGGCAAAAAGACGCAGCCTCAAAATCGCGCGTCTGACAAATTGCCCAGCGCGTGGACGCCAAGCAAAACTCTGCTGACCAAAGTCTTCAAGAGAGTGATATTCCACTGGGCTTTGAAAAATTTGGTGGGGGTAGAGG